CGCCCTTTAATCAATAGCTCAAACTGAATAAATGTAGTATTCAATACTTTGCGCATAATTGAAAATTCAATAGCTAATCTTTTCTAAATTTATGAATTTTTTTAAACACTAGAGTGAGTTACGAATAGACTTGACATGCCACTTACCGTTCGCCCATGCCCCCATAAAGTAATCCGACAGATTTGCATGAATTAAAGATTTTGGGTGGTGATCCCGGAGATACCGATCCCTGGCTGCTTCTGTGAACTGCCTGTGGTACCAATACAGAACACGGGCCCCGTCAGCACCTCTTTCAACAAAATAAGGCGCAAGGTCTGCCCGAACACGAATCCATAGCAACGGCGGAAGGCGCCGAATGGGAGGAGTCCAGTACTGAAAAACATCGTTCAATACATCGTCGTCACATGACAAGACATCTTCAAGTTCATTCTCAGTTAAGCCACTGCGACCTGGAGGCAGATAAATGTTAATCAATATATACTGTACTTCTTATAAAGTGCGCCCTCTAGTGACGACATGATTATATGACATAAATTGAAGCAAGGGTGTCGTTCACACCTGCAGTGACACAAGACAATGCGCATAATGCCTCCACCTGGAGTGATATAAGACAATGCACATACTGACCTCGCCTTCAGCGATATCAGCCAATGCACATACTAACCTCATCTGCAGTGATATAAGACAATGCACATATTGCCCTCGCCTTCAGCGATACCAGCCAATGCACATACTAACCTCACCTGCAGTGATATAAGCCAATGCACATACTACCCTCATCTGCAGTGATATAAGACAATGCACATACTGCCTTCGCCTTCAGCGATATAAGCCATAGCACACACTACTCTCATCTGCAGTGATATAATACAATGCACATACTAACCTCATCTGCAGTGATATGACAATGCACATACTGCCCTCGCCTTCAGCGATATAAGCCAATGCACATACTAACCTCATCTGCAGTGATATAAGACAATGCATATACTGCCCTCATCTGCAGTGATATAAGACAATGCACATACTAACCTCATCTGCAGTGATATAAGACAATGTACACATTGTCCTTACCTGTAGTGATATAAGACAATGCACATACTGCCCTTGCCTTCAGCGATATAAGCCAATGCATATACTAACCTCATCTGCAGTGATATAGGACAATGCACTTATTGCCCACGCCTGCAGTGATACAAAACAATGCACACATTGCCCTTACCTGCAGTGATATAAGACAATGCACATACTAACTTCATCTGCAGTAATACAAGACAATGCACAACCCTCCCCACCTGCAGTGAAATAGGACAATGCACATATTGCCCTCACTGCAGTGATATAAGACAATGCACATATTGACCTCACCTGCTATGGTATAAGACAATGCACATAATGCCCTCACTGCAGTGATATAAGGAAATGCACATACTGTCCTCACCTGCAGTGATATAAGACAATGCACATATTGCCCTCACCTGCCTGTGGTATAAGGCAATGCACATATTGCCCTCACTTGCTGTGATATAAGACAATGCATATATTGCCCTCACTGCAGTGATATAAGGAAATGCACACACTGTCCTCGCCTGCAGTGATATAAGACAATGCACATATTGCCCTAACCTGCTGTTATATAAGACAATGCACATATTGCCCTCACCTGCTGTGATATAAGACAATGCACATATTGCCCTCACCTGCCTGTGGTATAAGGCAATGCACATATTGCCCTCACTTGCTGTGATATAAGACAATGCATATATTGCCCTCACTGCAGTGATATAAGGAAATGCACACACTGTCCTCACCTGCAGTGATATAAGACAATGCACATATTGCCCTCACCTGCCTGTGGTATAAGGCAATGCACATATTGCCCTCACTTGCTGTGATATAAGACAATGCACATATTGCCCTCACTGCAGTGATATAATACAATGCACATATTTCCCTCACCTGCTGTGATATAAGACAATGCACATATTGCCCTTACCTGCAGTGATATAAGACAATGCACGACTAACGAGCATTTCGCCGTGACTTCGTTCAACGGTTTCAAACAAAGCTGATATCACTCGTCTAACCGGGGAGTCACTCTCGTTCGTTGCCTCCCTGTAAATAGCTTGGTATATGATAGTTTGTTGAGGATTCGTGTATGAGGCCCATTGGCAGGCAACGTCAAATGATATCTTCAAAAACAACGGAAGTGGACATTTTTGGAAAGCACCAATCAGAACGTTCGTTTGTGCTTCTGTTAAAGTTCGATTTCTGCTGGACAGCCATTTGGTAAGTATCACTTTCACGTCATCATTCTTCATCTTGGGAACTTCGAGAAAAATATCATCATTCCATAAGTTAGCCTAAAACAGACAAAAAATATTGAAAAAAATGAATCTAAAAGTCGACAACGCTATAAATTTCTCAATCGGTCGATAACATCGACCATTATTTTATACCTTCAGTGTCGGATAGCATTCGTATTTATCGTCCACTAGCGTCGACACTACGAGTCGCACATTGTCAGGTAATGTGGTTGGTAGCCATAGCAACTGGTGTGCACCGTCATCCGAATCGAATTGGTCGAGTGAATCCAAAAACAATACGAGTGGCATCTGTGGCGTGGCATTCTCTAATCGTTGTTTCAGGTCCTTTGTAAGATCTCTCAAATCCTACCAAGAGAACATGATCTTGTTATTTGAATGTAAAACTGGTTAGCGTAGTGTATTTACGTCGCACGGGTCCTATATCTAACACAAAGCGTCCAGGCGATTGTAGCGCCTACGTAAGTAGTTTCTTAGGCCATCTTTTAGGGATATCTATTTTTTTATAAATTAGGTAGCGTACCTAGCGAAAACAGTTTCGCAGTCGGTCTGAGAAACATGTGTAATTGACGCTTCCACAATAGCACAAAGTTAAGGGGTCTTAAATGATGCATACCTCTGACACTGGCGTCTCATCTCCGTACACCTGCGTTATTTGGCTGGATATACTATAGAGCAAAGGTCTTAATGTCGTACTAAACGGCGTCGTTCCGATAAATCGGAGTACTACCACTGTGTCGTTGGATAGCCAGTCACGCGTTGAATGCGCTGCCATGGCGACCAGTGATGTTTTCCCGCATCCTGATTCTCCATGTATCACGAACGGAGTTGATTCGCTTCCCTGAATATATGATTGGATTTTCTGAGAAGACAAAGTAACATTGTTTGACAGTAAACATAACAGCATTCATTAGACGACATGAAGTAACTCGTACATACGCATGCGTCCGGATTTATCGATACGTATCAGTATTCGAAGCGCAGATATGATAAAAAAAATTATGCATATTCTAAACATGCTCATTGATATTCAAAGTCATGCATATTATGCCAGTAGTTAAGGTCGTATTATAGGTACGACCATGAGGGCGCTGTTCATGCTCGGATGCGATGACGTCATACGGGGAGGGATGACGTCACAATGGGAGGCCGTGCATAGCTTAGCATAAATAATGACGTCACAATGGGAATTCGTGCATAAATTAGCATAAATGAGCGTCCATGGCCGTAAAGGGGATAATTTGAATGAGGATGACGTCACAATGGGATATTTTAATACATTTGCATAAATTACCATCAATTTTTTTTAATTATTTTTTTTAATTATTTTTAATTATTTTTTAATTATTTTTTAATTGGACAGGCGTGGACGAAAGATTTTTCATGAGGATGACGTCACAATGGGATATTGTGAATACATTTGCATACATAAAATTGATGTGAATACGAGGTCGTGTCGAGGTCATCGTGAATACATTTGCATAAATTACCATCATTTTTTTAATTATTTTTTTTTAATTATTTTTAATTATTTTTAATTATTTTTAATTGGACAGGCGTGGAC